GTCTAGGAGTGTGTTACTGCTCTCTCTAAGTGAAGAATAATTGTGCACATGTATTGTCATAACAATGGGTAAACCTATTTACTGTTTTAAATTCAAAGTCTGATGCAGTGTTTGAAAGTGCATGGTTATTATAAACAGTTTTCTTAGGCGTTCTGCTATTTTTTATGGTCAAAAAGCTCAAATGTTTAGGTTTTGCTCACTCTTCTGGAAAGCATTGTCTGATATGTAAATATTTATTTGGTGTAGTCTAAGAATTGTTTTTTCATGTGGTCTAATGTTGTGTCTAGTCTTGGAAAACAAGTCAATAATAGTCTAGACAGTAGCAACTGTGGAACATTTCAGAGACTTGTTTACTTTCAGCGTCTATTCCCTTGTCTCATTTCAGAGTCTTATTTTCAAACACAAGAATGGTAAGCTTCAAGATTTAAAGTTGTCACACACTTCTGCTTTCAAACAAGCTAATGTTATGTATTAAACAATACAAGTACGATAATGTTGGCCACAAATACATGTTTTGGATTGTCACCTTCAGGGCAAGAATAGGACCACCAACTCAGGTCTTCATGCACACTGTGAAAACTGTCATAACCAGGACTGCAAGATTCCCATAGACATCTCAACGTCCTGTGTCTTCATTTCCTGCCAGCTGAACTGCGGTGCAGCCTTCCATCTTTGTAAAGAGGATGAGCATCGTCTTCTCTGCCCTAAGGAAACTGTACCATGCCTCAACTCTGGCTATGGCTGTCCCATTACCATGACTCGTCAAAAAATTGCCCCGCACCTAGAAGTGTGTCCTGCCAGTGTGATCACTTGTACCCTGGAATGGAACCGATGGCCTGTAAACGAGACCGATACCACCTTCTACAGAAATGCCATCCAGGATCCAAACTGCATGAGTCAGTTAGACCTTGCTATGGCCCTTAGAGATCAGAAGCTTCTGTTTAGCTCAATTCAGATGAAGACACTCTTCCCTGAGTTGATAGAGAAGATGGAGGAGCCTGAAGTTCCACTGGATGGTGCTGTTGGAGGTGTTGATCCAGAGCGCTGGGAGTCTCCGAACTTACACCCGGAAGAAATGTTGGAGAATAGTCTTAACGGGGAAGAAGGACAAGAACTAACCCAAGAGGAGAGGCTGGCCCTAGCTAAGAGTAAAGATGTGACCTGCTTGGAGAACTACGGGATGTGGGAGAGAATGTTTGCGAAGGAGAAGGAAGGATGCAAGCAAACTGTGAAGAATTTAGATGATAAAAGTTGTCCGATTAGGGATAAGGAAGACCCAAAAGTGACCCCTCAGAATTCCCACGATGACATTTCCAGAACAGGTTTAGCTCCTTGGCAAGATGGCGTTCTTGACAGACTCGGTAAACTCAACGTGGCCGAGTATAATATGTATCTGGTGCACAACGGATGCATGCTTATCAACTTTGGTCAGCTGGCTGCTTGCACACCTAAAGAGAAAGATTTTGTTTATGGTAATTTAGAGCCCATTGAAGTTCAAACCATACACTCTTTCAACTTTCCAACCAGCTACAGACCCAAGCGTAGCCACCTCAAGGATCCATCAAAAATAGTTAAGAAGACACACCAGAATGTGGACACATCTGATTTAGGCATTGCCATTGAAAAGCTCCCAAAGGCGAATGAGATAGAGGCGACACTGCTGTGTGCACTAGAAAGAGAACTGAAAGGTCATCAGATATGTGAGTCTGTTGGAATCGACGGGCTATATGTTGACTGTGGCACCCAGACCTATGACTTTCATTCTGCTCCATTCAAAAGTGATGCATCTTTGGCCAATGTTGTTGAGGACCAGCCGCAAAACCTACATGTGCAGATTCAGACAGAATGTGTGACTAGGAGACACAACAAATCCTGCTCCGCCTTTACTTACCTGTGCTGTAATGCCTTTAGGCGTGACGAATACCCCTGGCACTTTAGAAACGTGCATGGAGACATTCAGTCATGTCTTACAGGCTGGTTTTTACAGCGGTGCCCACTGGCTTACCTTGGTTGCACCTTCAGCCAGAAGCAATTTCGACCATCTAAATATCAGGCTACAGTGAGCTATGATACAGATCTTAGCACTTTCATCTTACAACCAGAGGTGGCTCCGTCGCTTAACAAAGGAGTAAGAATCGCTGACAGTGAACGCAAACGAGCAAGGAATTTGGATTCTCTGAGCAGACTTCCTTTTGAGGTTTTACAACACATTGTGAGTTACCTGGATAGTGTGTCTTTGGGTCGTCTATCTCAAGTTTCCAAGTTAATGAGGGAGGTGTGCAGCACTGTTCTTCAGCAAAAGGGTATGGTGTACCTTAAATGGGAGAAAAAGACATACTCTCATGGTGGATTCACCTGGAGGGCCCGAAAAAAGGTAAATGCCTTGCTCATATCATCAGCCAATACTCTTCAACTAATTCCTAGAAGAGTTCAAAAGCATACAAAAAATAGAGGTCTGTAAATATTCTCTGAATTTATTCTCCAAACCTGTATGTTATTTTTCCTGTGGAACACAAAATAATCTTTAAGCTGCTTTACAAACACAGAACATTCCCCAGACATTAGTGCATGGTTCCGCTTTGGTTATTTATTTGGGAATAAGTTCCAAACTTTCTAGCAACGTTCATTTTAGATTTTATTTTATAACCTCAAACTAAAGCCTTGCTGGTATTTTATGTGTGTGTGTGTGTGTGTGTGTGTGTGTGTGTGTGTGTGTGTGTGTGCAATAACCTAATAAGAACAAATACACAACATTCTCTAATGGATATATTAAGGTTTTATTTATTTTTCGTGCACTGTATTCCAGTTCATGTGAGTTATAGCTTATGTGAGGAAGTCATATTATTATCAATATTGTTTAATTTTGTATTATTCGTTTAATTATTCATAAAAATGATTCCCATAAGTCTCAAAATCATGTGCACAGTCACAATCCAATATGAAAAAAAAAAAAAAAATCAAATTTTATTCCAGGAACATTAGCGGTGTTGCACGGCACGTTAAACATTCTAAGTACGTTGGTGCTCTGTTATCTATTCTCTGAAGTATGTGGGTCACAGAGGGCGTAGATGGGTCATTTGACTCTCTCTGGCTCCATGTCAGTCAGCTATACACTGGTAAAGGTTTGTTTTTAGATGCCAGGTGGTCACTCTCTCTCTCTTAGCTCATTGTTTTGGAAGCAATTGATTTTAGCGTTTAACCAGTAGGGGCTGTAACCTGCACTGTGGAAAGCCAATGAGAATAGCACTCTGGAATACTGATCAGCATATATTGATATATTCATAAAAGGCACTGGACAGGCGCATCGATATATTTAGCCCTTGTAATTTCACTGAGAAACAACATTACTCAAAGTGACATCCACTTAATTTTGTACAGTACTATAGTTTTATCATTTTCAATCTTATTTTTGTCTGTGTGTGTGTGGAATGTTTTGCTTGAAAAGTATTTTTAAAAATGCCATTTGGTTTGATTTTTTTTTTTTTAATACAATGACATAAGTGATGCTTAAGTGTCCAAATATTTTAGGACCATAGTTTTCAGTCATTGCAAAGCCTCAATGAAATTGCACTGATTTAAATGGGACCCTTCTCATCTCCATGTAGGTATGGGAGTTTAGCACTCTGCACTCTCCAGTGGATAAATGGGTCTTTGAAGACATCCCTTCTATGGCAGAGCACCTGAAGGTCTGTCCTTTCTATCAGAAGGAGATTCGAAGTGAACCTGTGCCATTACCCAGCATGACAGATCTCCAGGAGAGAAGAGGAGAATTCCAGACTCTAGTCAATAGTGTCCTCACTACTGTCAAGTCACACAGAGAATAAGAGACGGCTGTGTGGCGCAAGCTGTGGACGTATTATATAAAAGGATGCTGCATGCACTGCACTCATCAAATATTTCTAGATAAAATTGTAATAGTCAATTGTTATAGTCAAAGGGACAGTTCACTCAAAAAACAAAATTCTGATCATTGATCATCATTCTGTCATCATTTACTCTCACACTCATGTCAGAGACGATATTTTGAGAAATGATTATTATTTGTCTATACAATGAGAGTCAACTGTTTGGTTACCAAATTTCCTTAAAATAACTTATTTTGTGTTCCACATAAGAAACAAAGTCATAGAAATCTGGAACAACATGAGGTTGAGTAAATGCTGCAGAATTTTTTTTTTTTTTTTTTTTCAGTGGACTATCCAGACAGATCTTTGCTGACCTCTACTGGCTTAAAAAATGCACGGTCATAAAGGCTTAAAAATAACCGTCATACTATAAATGCATTTACAGTGGTATGGTGAACGTGTGTGTAAAATCAGATGTTAACATTTTACAAGGTCTCATTTGTTAATATATTAACTAACATGAACTGACTATGAGCAATATACTTTTTTTTACAGCATTTATTAATCCTTGCTAATGTTGGTTAATGAAAATACAACTGTTTACTGTTGTTTGTTCAAGTTAGTTCACAGTGCATTATCTTACATAAACAAATACAACTTTTGATTTAACAAATGCTGTAAAAATACTGTTTATTAGTAGTTCATGTGAACTAATGTTGTTGACTAAGGGTAAAGTGTTACCAATCTGGGGTGCGTTTCCCAAAGCCAACTATGGTCGCAAGTTCCGTCGTTACCAATAGAGTTCAATGGAAGTTGCGATCATAGTTGGATAACGATGCTTTCGGGAAACGCACTCCTGATCATCTTCTTCAGCATGATCGATGTAACACATTTACTTATTTGATTAGTGATCTTAAATATTTCTTAATTTTATGTTATAGCTGTTTTTATTTTTTAGATAAGTTAATTTTCATTATAAAGACATAAATTCCCATCATAAAGTGTATTACACTTCCTCCATGCAGTGCTCACAAAATTGTAGGTGTTGCAAAGTCCTTAAAGATATTTCTTATTAGTCATATATAGGCTGTATTTTAAACAGATATATTTTTATTTTTGCATTCCCCACATCCCTCAAAGTAACAGTCACCCGAAAAAAAGCTTTGACTTTATTCACTTATGAAAACCAGTTAAAATAAAAAAGTCAATAAACAAATGCTTTTGTTTCAATACAATGAATATACAGTATTTATGAGTATGTTGCTCATACTCTATTGCATCTCTGACACTTCTGGGTTGCGTAGTTTATTGATGACCTCTGACAGCATGCGGTTACATAGGGCAGCGTAGGGGTTTAGGATCACAGCCTGCTGCTTGGCAAACTCACTGCCTAGAGCCGCTGCTCTCTCAAAGTCCACCCGAGCCTCCTCATCATGACCCGACAACCTGAGAAGAAGCCCATGCTGGACCAGAGCCTGGCAGGCCGATCGCCCAACGCCGCTGCTGAGAGTGATGGCACGCTCCAGATCTTCAACTGCACCTGAGATGGATTATAGATCATCAGTTAAGTGAGATAACCCAAAAATGAGCTCCACATTTGCCTTGGAACTGTATAATTCCCTTTCTTGTATGAAACCCAGAATGATGCCCAGGTTTCATAGACAAGGCTTAAGCCTAGTCACAGACTAAAATGTTTGAGCTGTTTTAACTGAAAGCAACTTGCACTGACATATCTTAGAATATGTCAGTGCCATAGTTTTGTCTTAATATGCACACCAGTAATGTTTTTTTCTAAGGCACGTTTATTAAAGCTACTTAAATGTCTGAATTGAACTAAGGCCTAATCCTGAATTAAAGGAGTCGTAGGTGATTCTCTGCAGATTTTATTTTATATATTTTTTAATGCTGGTCCACATGGTGCGTTCTATTATTTATCCGCGTCGGAGTTCCGACTAGGAAGACAGACGTTGCCTAGCAACACGCACCAACACGCCCCCTTTCCTCGGATTTTCCCGCTCGGATTTCGGACAACCGTGAGGACACCGAGCAAGAATTCTGATACGGAATCCAAGATGGCTGCGCCCTGTGTGACTGAGTATGAATTGTTTTCATTGTTTTTGGACCGCTTTGGTTGTTTAAATGAAGATTTTAATCACTCGTATTACTGCAATACTTTACTTAAAACGTGAAACAATGTGAATCTGACAATGTTTTTTTTTAGGTTGGAAGTTATATGTATTTTTATTAGGTTGGAAGTTATATGTATGACCGCAGTTTTGAAACAAAATGTCTGGTTAGTGGCACTAAAAGGTCAAAAATAAAGGTTCCAAATCATGCACTATACTATGAAATGTGTTTTGAGGTCATAACATTATCAAAGTATTATGCATGGAACTGCATGAAAATTTGTCTTAATTCATTGATAATCTGCCCCTGTGGGCTAATCATGATTTGTGTGAACAGGAATAAAAGTTGTTGTTTGACTGCCACTAGTGTACTTAGAATGTATTTCCATGATAGTCTCTAAACTTAAAAGAAAATGCAGAAATTAAAGTTGGGAAACTTTCCAGCCGATTCTGGGTGAGAGAGGGAGAGGCGTATCACCTTTCGTGTCTCCCTGCAGGCGTTTGGTCTGGGCTCTGTTGTTGTAGGCTGAAGCCCTTTGAGGAAGGATTCTGATGGCCTGGTTAAAATGCTGAAGAGACGCGGGCAGGTCTCCAGACTCGGCAGCCGAAACTCCCTGCAGTTCCAGATCTTTCACCTGCTTCACTAGCTCTGGCTCAAAAGCACTGTCTAGAGATAAACAGAAATAAAAAAAACTGCATAGAAGTGTTCGCATTCAAGCATCTTTGTAGCATTTGAAACTTTCAAGATACGAAAGAAGTGATTTGTCCGAATTTATGTCTATCTATCTATCTATCTATCTATCTATCTATCTATCTATCTATCTATCTATCTATCTATCTATCTATCTATCTATCTATCTGTCTCTCTATCTATCTACCTATCTATCTATGTTTAGAAATGTAACATTAAGTGAGACTGTTGTTTATCATCATTAGTTACACAAACCATGCATGTGTTATCTGATTATGGATTTTTTTCTTACCATCATCTATCAGATCATCTTCTTGATTTAATCCAGGAATATCTCCAAGTGGGCTGGTAGGGTTAAAGATGGCCTGTAAAACGGCCCTGTCATGAGCTGATGCCATTTCTTCGTGGAGAGTGGACCAAGATCCAAAAATAAGAGGATTTTTAAATGGATTGCATTTTTATGGGAAAAGAGGAGTTCCCTGCAAAACACTTTCCAGCACTCCACACTAGCCAATCAGAAGAGGGGGTGGAAGCAGGACTTTGAAATGGTCTGTGTTTGATTAAGTCTGTGGGATGTTACGGATATAAGAGCCTGACATACATACTGCTCTAAGTCATTGGGTCTCATTCATGAAACACGAGCAGAACGAATTTTTGTGTAAATCGTGTGTAAAGTGGTTCTGGCGTAAATTTTCGGATTCATTAAAATGTTCGTATTTTCCAAATGTTAGTTGGTACACAAGAAATCTACACCTGCTCCCAGCCACGCGTAAATAGTGCGCTTAACACCCGAACGTATTGCTCATTAATAAGGCTGCATTTTAATTCACCTTAATAGGGTACATATTTGCACAGCATTTTGAAAAAATATTATATATAGTAATTACATATGTTTTTTCTTATTATGAGAGCCAGTAATAGCATCTGCGATGGTGGTCCTTCTCCAGTTTGAGTACTATTTTTCCGAAGTGAACTAGTTCGTTTTTTGCTCTCAAGCCTAATGTCGAACCATTTTCTTCTCACTTCTGGGAATGTTCGATTAACAGATGAAACTCCATTAACTGCATCTGTAATATGCTGCCAAGCTTCCTTTTTTTTTAGGACCCGATACGCCACTATGTACGCTTGAAAATAAATGTGGCGTTTTGAATGAACTTCTGATAATAAAACTTCAATTTCTGCATCTGAGAATTTTTTTTTTCATTCGCATTCATGTCATAATATGATGCCCATATATAGTTGTCAGTCGGATTTAATGGGCGGGATTTATGGTATTTGAGAATGAACGTGCACGCGCATCCCATTTACGACTGATTGGAATTCATTAACACACACACACATTTCACTACCACATCTGAAGTTTACGAAGTATTTGTGAATCAGGAGAAGAGTTTTCGGGAAGGTCTCTTTACGCGCAAATCACTCGCATATTTACTCGTATATTTACGAATGTTTCATGAATGAGACCCAGTGTGTGTAGCACCTTAAAACTTTTCTAAAAACTGACAAGCTAAGAAAATTATTGGTAAAACTCAATAGCCTACTACTTAAAGGGATAGTTCATCCAAAAATGGAAATTCTGTCATCATTTACTCACACTCAAGTTTTTCCAAACCTATGAATTTATTTCCTCTGCTGAACACAAAAGAAAATATTTAGAAAAATGTGGGTCACCAAACAGTTGATGGGACCCATTCATCATCATCATCATCATCATACTTTGTTGAAGACTCAAGGTCCAAATGTAAAACACAAACAAACAACAGATAAAACCAAACCATTAAGGGAAAAAAAATCAAGGCATTGCAAAAATACAATACCAGTGTCTCCACAACTTGAACTGATAACTTGTAGTACTGACCCTTATATTTGATAAGCCCACACTAATCTCATTTTTGGAAACATTTAGCCGGCAGATACATGTACATAAGGTCTTCGTAACACAGATTGAAAAGTATTAACTCCTGCACTCCATAAACAGAACATCTGTTTAGAAGCTGTTGGAGATCAGTACTATTATTAGGACTAAAAACCACAAGATCATCTACATAACATGATACACTAAGATATTCCCAATCAAACCCCGTGTTGCAGGCTTTCAATCATTTAGATAAATCATCCATAATAAAGATTAAAAAGAACTGGGGACAAAATCTCTTCTTGTCTCACACCATTACTAACCTCAAACAGTGCATAGACTTTATTGCCCCATTTGACTTGCATTGACTGGTGGGCATACCAATAAGCCAGAATTCTCACAATGTATACAGACACCCCTCTGTGTCTCATTTTAAGAAAAAAGCTTTGGATGCATCAATTAAACACAATGGCGGTTCTACATTGAATTACACACTGGGCAAGACCCTCTTCTATTATAACAACATGAGTGAAAGAGAAAATGATATTTCTCAATTGCACAAATCTGTCATTAGACCATTTAAAAAACACACTTAAGAAAATCCAGTTATTTAACTATTGCAATTACAACAGGAAACACACTTTTTAAGGTGCACAATCTCCACCTCCAACATTGCCAAAAGACAAGGAACACAATTCTGCACAAAATATGACAGTATAAGTTATCAGAACTTAAATAAATATACACTATATACATAAATGTGCCAAAAATATATACAATCAGATATATAAAAAAAATTTAACAAGAGCAACAATAATATAAAATATTAAGAATAATATACAAATAAAATATAGAATAAATATTCTAAATAGCACAAATCCTTCATCACACAAACCATTAGCTCCTTGGTTACTGCCTTGAATTCAAACTTTTAGCTATGACTTGTTAAACTATACTTTGTCACGAAATAGAGTTGTAGCAATTAAATAGCAAATGTTCGTCTTTGAAACTACAGACTTGGAAATTCCATTGGCTAATTACAGGGCCTAACGTAAACCCAACTGATAGAAATAAATAATAACTGAACTTGAAACAGTTTTGTTGCAAAGCACAATATTATGGTGAAATTAGATCTCGTGTTTGTTGAGTTAAAGCCAAATTATTGTTGTATAAGCATAGCAGGCATCATAGCAAAAAGGCTAACAAACGTAAGAGTTATACCCACCAATTAACATTAGCCCTTCACTCATGACATGGATACCGTAATCATACAGAGAGAACATAGTTGCATACTTTTATCTTTTGCTCGTTTCTCCTCTTCTTCTTTTCTTTTTTTTTCTAACTCGGTAGTTTAGATATAAAATGTATGACAAATAAGGGCGTGGTTAACTTTGATTGACAGCTTGATTGACAGCTGATAACGAGCTGCGCCGAGTGGAATTCCTAAAATTTGACGTCTCGGCCATGATCTGACACAACACATCATACCACCTCTGTATCCTTTCTGAACATTTGTATTGAAATATCTTACATAACATGGGTTGCTCCGCTATAAACTGCACTAACCGACACTGTAGGAGTACTTCGCTCCATTTTTTTCCGGTAAGTGACATTCCACTACTATTTCACGTAGTTAGCACTATTTAGCATCAATGTTTGTGGGCAGTGGCACTGCAATAGTTAGCATTAAATCGCCTCAAATAAGTTAGCGTCCGAGGTAGGGACAGGTGGGGTTTTGGGGGCTAATACAATGCTAAATCATAAATCAGATGTAGTTAATGAGATCTAATATGTCGTTGTTGGTGAGAATTTTCACGTGAAGAAATACATAAATCTGACAATTAGATTCATGCACTTTAATGGTCCAGTGGCAGAACTTTTGCCAAGCGTGTCAGAGGTTCTGGGTTCTAATCCGCACTCGTATAGTTTTTTTTGTTTGTTTTCTCTCTCATTAAAACCGATTATGTTTATCAGTGGTTGTATTTCAAGCAGGGACACGTTTGTGTGCATTTTACTTGTGATTTCACTGGAACGAATAGAGAGTCTCCGCAACGGATTAAAGCGTTCGTCCGAGTTCAAAATTGGTGGGGACAATATCGACCCTGGCAAAAAGTGGTGGGGACATGTCCCACCCGCAAATTACGCCTATGCCTATGGTTATAACCGGTTATAACTGACGTTTGAAACACTGTAAATGCGTCTGCCAAATGAATAAATGTAACATAAGAATAGACTGATATGTCCCACATTGGAGTCTTCATATATTTTGATGGGTTGTAACGTTACCCTTCAGCAGCTTTGCAGTGAATAGTAGCCATAGACTGTAAAAAGTAGCCTAGTCTGCCAGTCGATCTTGTAACGTTAGCTGAGGCTGCTTGGCTGAAGAGGCGCATCCGTCTTACACAAAGCCCGCCCTTTTACCCATATATGGATTGGCCAGAAGGTGGGCGGGGTTAGGATTTCCCAAGATTTTCAAAAGATGGCGCAGCCCATACCCCCCATAAACGGCCTCAAAACGGGTGACGTTACAGACACTTTGTCCATTTTTTTTACAGTCTATGATTTATCAGTAAAAATGCCCCTCCCTTCCGGCGGCCAAAACCATCCCAAACCAAAATCGTCCGACCAAGCTCAATTGGATCAATAAAGGTTGAATAAAAGCTTTTCAGTTTGATTGAGCCGTCAATCCGATTTCGAATGGATTTGTTTGCATTTAAACATTTTGCTGTTGTGCGTCTCTGTGGTGCTGAATTTAGCTGATTCTTGGGCTTGCTTATTTGATAGGCTATGTTTTTTTTAGACATAAGGTTTTGCATGTAGTCCTCATACATGCCATTTATGATGGAAATAAAGATATTTAGTATGACATGTTCAAGTTGCACTATAGCATGTGAGTTATATGGGGTGTGGTTGGGGGTGGGACACTTAAAATGTGGTCACCCTAGGGCACTACACTGTGTTAATCCGGGCCTGTGTACAGGTCCTTCTCAAAAATTAGCATATTGTGATAAAGTTCATTATTTTCCATAATGTAATGATAAAAATTAAACTTTCATATATTTTAGATTCATTGCACACCAACTGAAATATGTCAGGTCTTTTATTGTTTTAATACTGATGATTTTGGCATACAGCTCATGAAAACCCAAAATTCCTGTTTAAAAAAATTAGCATATTTCATCCGAGCAATAAAAGAAGTGTTTTTAATACAACAAAAAAAAGTCAACCTTCAAATAATTATGTTCAGTTATGCACTCAATACTTGTTCGGGAATCCATTTGCAGAAATGACTGCTTCAATGCGGCGTGGCATGGAGGCAATCAGCCTGTGGCACTGCTGAGGTGTTATGGAGGCCCAGGATCCTTCGATAGTGGCCTTAAGCTCATCCAGAGTGTTGGGTCTTGCGTCTCTCAACTTTCTCTTCACAATATCCCACAGATTCTCTCTGGGGTTCAGGTCAGGAGAGTTGGCAGGCCAATTGAGCACAGAAATACCATGGTCAGTAAACCATTTACCAGTGGTTTTGGCACTGTGAGCAGGTGCCAGGTCGTGCTGAAAAATTAAATCTTCATCTCCATAAAGCTTTTCAGCAGATG